ACAAAACCGGAAATTGAGGGGTTATGACGTCATTGGCAGGCGACACAATGACACTATAGACACGGTCCGTGTCACTAGTTAAAATTGCTTATTTCTCTGGATTTAAACATTCTTCGAAACATTTGGGACAATGTAAGTACACAAGTCAGCAAAATATATAACACTGTTCTAGTGGTTTCTGGATATTTTAATAAAAAAATCATACATATTGTGCCTTTAACTGTAACCCCAGAAACCATGAAGGAAAGTAACTAGTCAGAAAATATGTCAACGTATGGTAATAACTGACTCTGTAGCAAGAGTTTAGCCTGATCAACACTTTTTGTTTTCTTTTAAAAGAAATTAATGTTTTTATTCAGCAGAAATGCATTAAATTGATCAAAAGTGACAGTAAAGAGGTTTATAATGTTATGAAAGATTTCCATTTCAAATAAATGCTGTTCTTTTGAGCTTTCTAATAATCAATAATTAAATAATAACAATAGATTTACATTAAGACATTTAGCAGACGCTTTTATCCAAAACAACTTACAAATGAGAATAATAATAATAATAATATGAAGCAGCACAACTGTTGTCAACATCAATAATAATAAGAAATTTTACATGAGCAACTAATCAGCATTTTACAATGATTTTCTGAAGGATCGTGTGGCACTGAAAACTGCTTTGCCATCTCAGGAATAAATTACATAAAAATAATATGAAATAGAAAAAAACTTCCTTTAAATTTCACAATATTACTTTTATTACCTTTTTACTGTATTTCAAATAAATGCAGCATATACATATATACAAACATACATACATGTATATATGCAAAATATATTGTTATGCACTCTTTAATAAGGAGACTAATAAAATTAAAGTTTTTTAAAGAATGTTACAGTTTTACTTTATTTATTTATTTAGTTTACAAAATGTTTTCTAATGTCCTCAGAATGGGTGTTTGGGTAGTTCCTAGGTGTACTAAGGAGTTCAAGGTGGTTATTTCATAGACAGCAAAATTCCCTGGATTTTGGTGGGGGGTCTTCAAACTCACATCTCCCATATGAGAAGTGGGGCTAGGTCACGGCACTGACCCAAATGATAATTCTTACCTCTTCACCTTGACTTTATTCTAAAGTTTAAAATGGGATTGGAGCCATTGATTGATCCATTTACCTAGAACTACTTTCCTGGTCTCTGGGGGCAAAGGCCCAACTATTAATTTCAAGAGCACCATCAAGGACTCCTGAATGAAATGATTAAAGCTCTATGGATGGGAAAAGATGATTCAAAATTTCAGAACAGATTTCTGACACTCTGTGGTTGAAAACAACTCCTTTAATCTGTTCCATCAGACCCGTTTTCCTCCAGACCAACTGCTGTCTCACCTTCAGGTCTCTGTGCACGATGCCCATGTCGTGCAGGTACTTCACAGCATCCAGGATCTGCTGGATGAGCTTACTGGCATCTTTCTCAGTGTAAAATCCTTTTTCCACAATCCTGTCGAAGAGCTCACCACCGGACACTCTGCCAATGGAAAAACAGAGAGATGCTTGCAAAGCTGTTTTCGGTTTCTGTGTCTTTCACACACACCAACGCACATGCTCACTCCCTTTCATTTTTTTTACTCCAGACAGACTGGCGCACAGCAGGATCACAGCAGAACCACATGGTGATGCTGTACTTCATCGCAACCACCAGAGGAAGCTGTTTTACTCATTTTATGTTGAAAGACTGGGTAGACCCTCTCTCTTTTACACATATCTCATTGTGGTTAAGTAAACTTCAAAGATGACTCATATAAGTTCTGTAGCAGAAAATTGATTTCATTCCTTAGAAGTGCTTACACTACCTTATCTATATTAACAGGTTAATGTTTATTCTCATGCACTAACAAAAAAATACCATGGTAATATCAAGGAGTTTGGACATGAAGCATAGTAAGGCTCTGACTATTATATATCAAAGAAGCAATACCATGAGACACCATCACTATAAAATGGTGCCACTACGGTAGTAGTGCCTTTTTTTTAAGGGTGATCTGGGATGACTAACAAAAAAATGAGCTTTTCCACCACACTTAAAACACTCCAGCTTTTTCTATATGAGTGAATTTCATGGAAATGTCAAAAAACGTCCAAGTCATATTCCACACTGAAAATAAAAAGTAAAGAAAAAAAGGATTAAACGTATACTGTTTTATATATTTTCTCTCCCAATTATCATTTCTGCAATGAAAAAAACAAACAAAAAACATTCTCTATGTGGACAAATGATCTTAGATTATATTGTTTTTATTGTACTATAGTAATGCAATTGATTGTTTTTTATTACAGTAATGAGAGATTGGGGAAATATGCTTAATTGTCAAAATAAATGTCACAAATGCAGTTAGTCTTATTGGTCCTGAAATAAGGTTCATTTCATTAAGGCAGAATATAATTATTGAGGTGAAACATTATATCAGCATTTCTCTGTGAGATTAACCCATTTGTTGGATGAACAAGACATGCTGTCCATTTCCTCTTCTTCAACTTCTCAACACAAACAGTGCGGAGACAGTGAAACTTCATTCAGAAGTGCCTGTGTTGTGTCTCTTCGCATGTGTAGGATGAAGGGAACGCTGAGGGTGGGATTTCATAGTCTGTGGTATTTGAAGCATCAAGACTGTGGGTGCTAACACACACACACACACACACACACACACATACACACATGTACATGCATGCAGAGTTAATCTCTCACTGAGTTGAAAGCCCAGGCAAGCTTGGAGTCCTGCTGTCTGCATGCAGAGTTGCCATCACCCGGAAAATACGACAATGAACATCTCTCTCGCTTCCCTTTCTGTCATTCTGTCACTCTTGATCTCTCTGTTAACACAGCTGTTGTGGAAAACGACCCTTTGCCATGTTTCTCTCTCCATCGTTTGCCATCCGTGATATAATCTGTCTCTCTCCTCTATATACGCAACTAACTCTCTCTCTACTGACATTTTAGATGGTAGGTGTGAAGACGCAGGTGTGAGCATATTTTCCCAGCTCTGTTCATTGGTCTTGTGCGCCTATGTGTGTGTGTGGTTGTTTAGCCTTTTCCTTGATTTCTCAGTGGAAAAGACAATAGCGAGGCTCTCTGGCACATAAGTAATTAAAAGAGGTTGACACTATGAGGGGGCGAGAGAGAGCCGAGGGGGGTGACACACACAGTCATGCATTACCTGCTTCTCTGTAGCTCTATGGGGCCTGTTAGATAGACACATGATAGCTTCTAGTATTGTGCTGTGTGTCTCCTGTGGGGATCGTCTGGTCTAAAGATGAAATGTGTCATTTTTTCAATGTTAAAACCTTTTTTTTTTCTCCAGTTCACAGCTTAACATGCAGGAGCAACTATAAGTAAATCAACTGTAGGAGGCATTTTCAAAATACTTCTCTCTTTGCTTGAGAATCCAGACCAGGGCTGCGTTTCCCAAAAGCATAGTTAGCAAACTATGATCTCAAGTTGTGTCATTATCAACATAGTTCATAATTCAGCGTTTCCCGAAACCATACTTCCAACGAACATTCGCAAATTTGTGTGGATGGAACTACAGCTATATATCATTCAGTATATATATATATATATATATATATCATTCCGTATGTATACACACGTTTCATTTTGTATCTGTTAGTTTGTAAAGTGAATCAAAGCCTGGTTTTTGAAGAATGTGCATATGTGTAAATGTTGTAGAACCATATGACGTAAGAGGGAACCCGTGTTTGAATGAAGCATCTTAAAATACAGCAAAACAATGGAGAACAAAATAGCGAAGTCATCTTCAAATGCTATCAGCATTATTTACGGCAATAATCTGACATTTCCATCATGAAGCGATCAAGAAACAGAAGTTATTACTTCACCATTCTTTGAGCCAATATTCAAACAACAGAAGTGTGAAAGAAGTTACTATAGTTTCGGGAAACAGTCATGATTAACTAGCTTAATTTCGCCAACAATGCATCATACTAAAGTAGTTAAGCGGGTACGTTACATTATTGTACGGGAAACACACCACAACTAATAGGTTTGGGGCAGGGCTATATGTTTATTCAACCAATGGTGGATTGGGGGACAGTTCAGCAAAAACTGTTTGAAAATCATTGTTTTTGCGATTTTGTTTAGTGATGGCTAGTGGCATCGAAATTACACACTTCACCTTTAAACAGTTTTTCATTCTTTAAACACATGACCCATATATGGACATGGTTATTTTGTGCTTTCTCTGTGTGGTCTATCAGTAGATCTCAAGTTCAGAGAAAATGGCAAGAACACTTTTTGCTCTGTTACTTTGGCTCGCTCTTAACATGCTGCTTCGGAGATGACAACAATTTCAGAAACATACTATAACATTTAAAAATAATATCAAATAAGACTACAGTTAAATTTTTTTTTTTTAGTATGTTAGTAAACACATTAATGTAAGTGTACTTTGTTAAAACATGACAAATGCCACTATAGCGCTCCCTCTGGCTGAGAATGCAACACATTCTTGCACTGTGTTATGGATGAATTCTGAAATATTACAAAATACAATGAAAGCGTTTGCATTCATATACTTATGTAGAGAATGTTTGGGTCTAAATGTCTATATTTATGTATGGTAGCAATAATATTAATTGTAATAATGCCTTTGCATTTTTATTTGTTGCATACAGATGCTTTAAAGTTGGCTTTTGGCCAACATTGAGATCTTTAGGGATTCATTTACCATAAAAGCCACACAACATCTGAACTTGGAGAGCCTTTAAGTCACGGAAATGAATGAGTTTGAGATAAGGAGCTAAAAACGGCAACCAGCACACGGCAGCTGCACTAGATAATAGCTGAATTGTTTGCTGAATTTGGCTCACATACTCCATGTGGAAAGCATGAAAATATGGGGCAACAGCAAAGTTATAATTAATGATCAATCACTCACAGTTGCATGACAAGGTAGAGGTGTGATTTACTCTCATAGATGTCCTCCAGGGAAACTATGTTGGCATGTTTAATCCTAGGACAGAGAGAGAAAAAAAAATAACATGTCAACCCAGGAATAAGGCAAATATCTAGGCTTAGTACATCTTTACTGGTACTTCAGAAATAAACAATATGAAAGAGACAAAATACTTCCAGAATGCAATGTAGCATGAGAGACAACAATGCAACAGTGTGCACTGAAAGTGAGGCACAACTGTTGTGCCTGTGATATCGTTCAACATAAGATAAGCTCAATCGACAGCATTTGTGGTATAATGTTAAATATCACAAAAAATAATTACTCATCCCTTGCTGTTTAAAAAAAATCTGATCCCTAATTTCCATTCATTCTTCTGTAAAAATGGCAAATTATTTGAGCTGTAAAGTTGTTTTTGCCAATTTATGACCATTTTGGGATTTTGTTTTACGATGTCATGGCAAAAATGTTGTCAAATTTTCTATAACTTCACACAAAAAATGCTAGTTAAGCAACTTCATCACACTAAAATACTTTTGACATGCATATTGTTTCCTACTTGTTGCTACATGTATGAAACAGCAAGTAGTTTTTGTGGAAAAACAACATTATCCCACAAGTGCTGCCAACTGAGCATAAATTGTATTGAACCTGAAATATTCCTTTAAGGCACAGAACTGATACACAGCATGCAAATTTGTTTGGGTGGAGCCGAAAGTGTCATAGAGTGTTATAATTAGTGTTTGTGTTACTGCAGCTTCACAGCTCATATTAAAGGGGTCATATGATGTTGCTAAAAAGAACATTATTTTGTGTATTTGGTGTAATGAAATGTGTTTATGCGGTTTAAAGTTAAAAAAACACATTATTTTCCACATACTGTACATTACTGTTTCTCCTCTATGCCCCGCTAATCAGTCTGTCTCCATGAGAGCTGTTCTGACACCAGATCTCTACTCGTCCAAACGAATCTCTGCCACAATGTTCTAGAATGTTAAACTGACCCAGAGATGCTTCATAAATATTTACCAAGGGGATCCGGAATCAGATTTCCAGTTGCCTATAGCCTGAGATGCAATGTAAATATGAAACCAGGTCTTAGTGCATTGACTGAGAAAGAGAACAAGAGGAAAACCAGACAGAGGAGGAGGGAGAGAGCTCTCATTTGGTTCCATCAAATGTCTCATGCCTATTATAAACATAGTGTAAGACATGTTACTAACAACAATATAATGTGACATTTCCAGAGCAGCTGGCACAAGCACTCGTACCGAGATGGCAACGGGCAAAAACAACAAAACAGAAAAGTGCTTCATCTTTATTTTAATCCACTGCCTTCAGTGGTTCCGTAAGTATTTTCCCTATCCATTTTCCTCTCCATGGGGATTTCAAAACATTCTTCAATTAAAAAGATCAAAGCCATCGACCAAAACTTCCAGCTCTAAGATGGATCACAATATTAAAACTTATTTTAAGCAAAACAATATTTGAAAATTAAATAAGACAAAAGTACAAAACTGTGTACATAATGTTTCTTTTATTAGGGAATAATTCAACTACTCACTGCGAATGACATAATTTAATCAGAATGACCATAAAATATAAGACTCGAGACTTACAGTTATTGATTATAAGAATAAAAATAAATAGGCCCAAAATGCTCAGATTACACACTAATATTTAGGTAGTTTGAGACTGCAAGAGACTGATAATTTGACTCAATAATATAACTGTATTTTTGCTTCTTTCTTGCACTTTTGAGAAGTTTTGTAATATACACAAACTCCAATAAATGGATATATTGATTTTCAATAATTCAAAAGTCCAATGTTAATTATACCTGACATGGCCTACATATTGTAAGTTAACCTAAATAAATGTATTGTCATAAATGTATGTATGTATTGTCAGGGAGTCATCACAGTCACTTCAGTCACCATCCAGGATAATTACCCGATCACAGTCACCTGAATTCTGATCACCCGCACCTGCTGTCACCAATCAAGCCACACTACAAATACACACACAGCACAGCCATGTTCATCGAGATGCAGCCGCAGAAGTTTTCCTCCGATCGCACTAAGGTAGCATTCCTGATATCACTTCTTATTGGAAGAGCGCTGTTGTGGGCTAAGGCCATATGGAACGCTAATAGTGCCATAATTAAAAGGCAAGTACATTTAAGGGCAATGTTCATTTTTTGGGTTTTTAAACTTTTACTTTAATAAACAACACATAGTTTCTATTTGTTAAAGGGGTCATATGATGCAATTTAAATTTTTCCTTTCTCTTTGGAGTGTTACAAGCTCTTGGTGCATAAAGAAGTTCTGTAAAGTTGCAAAGACTAAAGTCTCAAATCCAAAGAGATATTCTTTATAAAAGTGCGCATTTTATGGAGGACTGTTTATTGATCCTGGGAGAGTAGACTACAATGCCGGCTGCCAAAATCAGGCACCTTAGAAGGCAACACATAATGTTGCAGCCTACCTTTTAGAACAGTCTTCACATTGAAGCAATGATGCCTTAAATTTGCTGTCTAAGTAGGTCTGCACATTAGGTTTTGCAACAGAGTTAAATAAATGAGGATGCAGTTGATTTTTAAAACCCTAGTTTAAGTCTAAGGTGGTGCCAAGCAGCATTGTTGAGAAATGTGACTTTGCAGCAGGCTGAGTGCTTCCCCATTCACACGTCGCCTCAAATCTCTCTGCGAACGCTGTGCCTCTTTGCCTGTGGTAACCCGGGCAACCCAGACACTAAAAATAGCGTCGGCTGCTCCGGCTTCAGTCATTCCCACAGAGCTTTATGATTCCAGAGGTTTAAACACGAGCTTCTTAACACACGCACAAATCACTTACTGTCCTCTCACCCTGAGATAACACGGCTGTTACACATAGATGAAGATCTTAATGGACTTTACAACTATGGGCCTCATTGTTCATACAGCTAGTAGGTGGTGATATTTAATGTGTGTGTGTGTGTGTGTGTGTGTGTGTGTCGTGCAAAAAAAAATACACTGAAACAGCTTTTTCAGTGACT